GCTCGTATTCCTTGATAAACCATTTTAATCCCTTAGTGTTACTGTCTCAAGTTCGAACCCCGGTGTGGACAACATCACTAACTGGGAAGCAGGCACATCCAACTGACGAGTCCCAAATAGGATGAAATGAACATCCTGTATTCCACTGCTAGCCACTATCCACCATTATCATTTCGTTCTCTGCTAACCACTTTCGTTTCGATGCCAGAAAGCATGTTCAAATTTTTTGTGAGGTGATATTCAAATGTTTCAATCTGTGAGCAGCTGATAAGAAACCAGTGAAATAAAATGCTACCATGTTAGTCTGTTCCAATCGTTGTTCTTTTTCTGTTCAAAGCAAGAGGTTTAACATAAGAGGAAAACAAATGTAAGTATTCAAGGGACCTATGATTAGAAAACTGGACTCTACAAATCATTAGCCTTTCCATGTAATTCATTATGACAACAAATAAAACTACATAACATGCATCCAGACTGCATTATAGCGCAAGGAAAACGGTTAAATGGAACCAAATAACTGGAAAGAAGCCAAGGAGAATATCAACTTCCTGATTATAAAGGCTGAGAAAAAATGAAGTGGAAAAGATAAGATGGAATGTAAGAAACAAACACACACCAATTTTGGGTCAAATATTTATGATATGACTTAGGGGTGTTTTATTCAAGGGAGTATTCTTCATGGAATGACATCAGTTGGGGGACAATTGGAAACCTTAGAGCACCAGATAGGTGTTTCATCTAAGTATGCGACTTCGCAGCTGAACGTTTCCATTACTCCGCTAAAGATTAAACTCAGAACCATCAGATATCATGGCAATGGTATCAACCAGTCGGAAGTGAAGCGGGTCCCAAATGAAAACGTCGGTAAATAGTCGCGCTATCTCGCGAGTTTATGGAAGTAGGAAACGGTGGACGAATGAATTCCGACCCAATGACTGAATGGTTATTACATTTGCAGTGAGATTTGAAGGTCCTGAGTTCGTTCCGTGAAAAGCTCACGGGTGCGTTCTGCTGCGGAGTCCTATAGTTGGACGAAGCCTCAGTGAAGTGCTCCCAGGCTTTTCAGTGGTCCTCTAACTGATTTTGGCTCTTGATAATTACTTACCTGAATATAACAGTTATTTATTTTTGTAAATATGACTCATTTTCCGAAGCAACATACAGTCTGAGAGGTTAGAGTATCTTATTTCTGAGTGCATATCTTCTAAAGAACCTACTATCTAAACTCAATTTCTGACTAAAGGACTTTTGCTAAACTGAACTGAATTTAACTCATAATTTCGTATTTTATTTGTTTTCGTTTATTATGTGTTCCACTTTTTGATAAATCCATGCTTGTAGGCAGTCATGGCAACTAAGTTCAGTGTAGTTGATTCTTTCTTATCCACAAGATTGTATTTAGTGCAGTCTACTACGACACTCAAATGTATCTGATTATATTTTTTCTAATGCTATTCATACTTAGTGGGGTATTACTGCTTTTGTTATTATGCTTTAGTTTAACATCTAGTTTGTGAGGATTTACTTCAGTTAGCTTCAAAATTTCTTTTTGATTACCATTTATTTATTTTACTTAGCCAGTTAATATATCTCCACACACCTCCAGATAGTAATTTTTTAAACTAAGGAGTTCGACAAAGTGAGAAATGTTGGTAGATGTAAAATAAGGTCGCTGAGTATCTACTTGATAGATGTAAAGAAGGTGAAGAAAGGAACAACGGTCATAATGAAGGTGATGATAATAAACTTATTAATGGGCTCCCCTCTGGGTCCTATGCTAGCGGACATCTTTTTGGTCAAACTTGAAAACAGCGCACTTAGGGATGCACGGACAAACTAGACTATTTTTGCCAGTATATGGATGGTACGTTCATCATTTGTAAGAAGGGCTTCAATAAAAACGATCTCTTTAGTACCTTCAATAAATTTCACCTGGGAGGAAGAACAAGGGAATAATATTTTTCTTCATAGATGTCATCTTCACCAAGAAAACGTATGGGAACATTAAGAGGGATATTTTTCGAAAGAACACACACCGATTTAATATAAAAGAGATTTGGTCAAATGCTTGAGTTACAGGATAGGAAACATTTTTTCTGATGACTGTGTTGAATAAGAAGCGAATAAGCCGAAGATGACATTGCAGCAAAATGGTTATCCGCTAAACTTCCTAAATAAACATATGTTGAAACTTAGAGAGAAGATAAAGAAAGACAATGTTGCTAAGAAGCCTTTATATCTTAAACTAAGTTTCAAAGGTGATAGTACCGCGGATATCTTAACATATCGATTAAGCAGATCAGTAGAAAAGGACATTGTACGCAGCGAAACTTTATGTCAGCTTCTCAACCGAACGATTACTGACACAGTGAAACAAGGATAGGTTACCTATGATGACCACTTCAATGTGCATTTATAAGTTCAACTTCTCCTGTGGAGCTAATTACATAGGCTGTACTCAAAGGATTCTATCCATATGCATTCGTGAACACATGACATCTTGGTTAGGAAAGGAAATGTCAGAGAGCCTCAGCAGTGCAATCCTCTCACATTTGGTAGATACCAAATATCAGATTAAGGTTGATCACGCCTTTTCTGTGATATACTGTGTCCCTTGTAATCTCCTTAAAGGTGCACGACTTCGCATCGTATCCATAGCTGAAGCCATAGAGATCAGCGCGAGAAAACCGAAATCGAAAATCGCAAAAATGCTAAGACCAAGTTAAGATAGAAGATTGAGCAGATTTCTTATGCACACAGAGATCAGGCTTCAGTTAATGAATAGCCAGTGATTTTGCTGTGTAAAATTGTTGAAAGTGTCCCCCTTCTGAATTATTCCCTTTCACTCTTTGAAAGACATTGAAATAGAACTGGTAGATTTACATACTTTTTTAGGTCAAAATTATTATTTTATCAGTTTGATAGGTATCTGCATGTATAAATACCAAGCCTTGTTTACGTTACTGAAAAATATTATTGAGACAAGACCTTTTACAATGCTATCTAAAGACAACTGGGTCGCTGGTCACGTACGATTTGCTTTCATTTGTTCACGCTCCCTCTTCTTAACTGTGTATAGATGTGTATATGTGACTTGTGACAGCTTGAACTGCTATAGAGAGATCAAATATCCTGCGTCTGTAACTGAAGAACTGTTTGATGGTACGACAGAAGCTTGAAGGTCTTACACGCAATAAATTATATGGTTCAGTGTCTCTACAGTCTATGAACGTTTGGCTAGAAGAAAACCATTAATCCAGTGCTTCATTCCATTGGTTTTTCGCACTGGTGTTAGGCTCTCATAAATATTACCTTCGTATTATCTTTCCACTTGTAATGCAAACTAAAACAAATATAAAAACCGTATTTCTATGGTTACCAGGAGTAAGCACACCCTAGTCTGTAGTGATAACAAATCATAATTTGTTATTTTCAATTTACTGAACAATATACTGATGGTTGTGAAAAGAAAGGATTCAGATTGAAACTTGATTTTCTGCTATAAAAACAGACTTCCTTGGCAAGCCCCAAAGGGCTCAGTGTTTTAACACTACAACATACAATCTATGCAGTTTTCAAATGATTCGATAACCATAGCACAACCAGAGTCATCTACAAATTCTCAGTTTCAAATGAAGTTTATTTATATTCTTCAACAATATGGCTAGTTGGACACGAAGCTGAATATTCTACTTGTCGGTTTTTGCTTACATAACGTTCAAGAGTACCAAGTGAGTTACACAGTTTGAATAACTAAAGAGTTCGTATCTTCGAGTCTCCTGAGAGCTTTGGAGAAATCTCAATAGCTAGTACTAAGAAGTAAGACACCTAAATTCAAAAGGTTTTTGCGCCTTGTCATCCAAAGCCTACAAGAAGCTTCACACATAGATCTTAGACGAATGTATATGGAGAGGAAATTAATCACATTTAGGATATTAAGTAACAGAATTTTAAGAGTTGTCACAATATGAAACTGAAGTCGTTAGCAATTGGTCTGCTTTGGAATGTATACTAGTACTGACTGCAGAATGCACCACGTTTTAGAAGGGTGTTCATTGCTTTGTGATCTTGTTCGTGTAAACCGTGCTCGATCGTGATAAAAAAGCTATTCCATTCCCCAAAGAAGTCGTCTAATTTGATAACCATCATTCTTTGCATGGTGTGAAAGTGCATCTTATCTTTTCAATGGCTTGTCAGACGAAATTTGGTAGAACATTTTAGCTTCGTTCAGATTCGAACTTCTCATGCAGTATTAAAATGGTAGCCTAGTTTACTTAACTAATGTTAATCCCGTAGAAAGAATATACTTCAAAGAAGAATGTACTTACTTAAGCATATTCCAGTTAGTAAGACTAATTTACTTACATGATTTGCCATTCCTCCATTTGTTCAGTGTTCAAAATTTTTGTTTTATGCCGAAAAAATTCCGAGTTCAAAGGTGTCTGTAACTCATTGTTACTAAAGGTGCTCAATATTATGTTAGATTGCAGTAACTCAAAAAATAAAGCTTCAATGGAAAAAAATGTCAGTATTATTTATTTTTTCAGAGATTTGGTTTGCAAGCACATAAATATAGGTAAACAATAGGTTAAAACTATCGGTGCTTTAGGTGAGAGACCCAGAAAGATGATTCAAAGTTTCCTCTTCACTCTTTGCATTTTGTATATCTTCACTAAATATTAACTAATCCGTGCGTAGAAATACTTTATTTTTCTGTTGACAACGTTTACTATACTAGAGGTAAAAATAAACACGAATTTTTGTTACTTGTGAAGCTTTTACTAAAGTACTTTATTTGAGTAGTACTGTAATTTTTATTGAAATATTTGAAATACTCAGTTAAGTAGACAAGTTGTTCTCGAGGTTAACACTTACTAATTCATAACAATATGAATTATGTTGTGTAATACTGAAGAAATAACAAAAGAAAGAGCTTAATTTGTTAAAAACTGATTTTTCGAAAGAGAAAGTTGTCTCCTTCAAAATAATCTTGAACTTACTTGAAATTTCCAAGCTGGTTTCAAGGTGAATGCAAACCAAGCAATAAACCAGACAAATATGACAATGATCCCTGAGATTACACTGAATAACAGAATGGAATTTCTTGTTATCCTATAGACTAGTATGCAATCCCACATTATTGGTATTTTAAACGCCAGCACAATTAGACTCCCAATTAAAGCACATATATGTGGTGCATATGAATACAGGTAACACCGACATCCAGCATGTAGCATCTCTGCACCATAGCTATAACCACGAGTTTTACGTGACATCCAACCGTTAGTGTCATTTCCATTGCCCAAACAATGACTAGACTTTCCACCACTCATTTGACCCGAGTGTATTGACTCTGTAACTGTATGGTTAAATACTGTTGCTGACGATAAACCGTTTCCATTTACTCCACAATTACTGCGTCCTTCCATCAATTCACTACTTGGCATAAGACCACCATTGAGAAGTGGATAACCATTTCCATTGCATGAACCAATAAGGTAATGTCTATAGGCTGCAAGATTTTCTGTGAACTGATGATAACCATACTCGAACATTGCTATAAAAAGGCTAAGAAATAATATGGTTCCAAGGAATGAAAGTGCCAATGGTCCAATGATACTTAGCGTCAGATTTGATTCTACGGTTAGTATATCTGAAAACTCTGATTTATCTCCATTTGGTTTACTTGTTTTAACTGAAATTTGTTCAGTGCTTGAATCACCCACTGGTAGATTCGGAAATGTAACAAGTTTTATTTCAGCTGGCCAAATATCACGTGGCAGTAGGTGTTGATTCCAACCAAGTCGGACAAGTATAGATGTTGCACAACATTCCAATAAAGCATTCACACCTATCAGTAGTAATAGTAAGGAGAATACGAATGAAAATCCACGATTTGTATACCAAAATACACTTGGATAACGTAAACTAAGCACAAGAAATGCGATAGCTAAATTAAAGAATTCCGGTGATATTGCTCTTAAGTCATCCCACGTTAACTTTCATTGTTTAGCAATTGTAGTTCTTTGACAGTTGTTTGCGATTTAACCTTTAAGGGAATTGAAGCTTGTCCAGGTGACGATGAAGGTGAAGATAATGGTGATGGTTGGTTGAGGCCTGATGACTGCATGAATACATTGTGTAAACCGAACAGAACATCTAAATCCGAACGCCATATCCAATCTTTAAAAGTAAACAGAAAGTTAAGAAGAAATATTTGAATTCATAACTTCAGCAATAACAGATGAACATTTGTAATGACAAATAAATCGATTTCAAAATTAAGCCTAAACTAGAATCAGCCATCCTCTAGTTACTGGTTTGATACTCAGCTGATTGAGTGATGAGATCTAACTGATGGTCAAGCCTTCTGACTGTCAGTTTCTACCTTGACGTAGCGATAGGTTGTGAATGTCACAATGATCTAATGAACTAAACTGGTTGGAAAAACTGTTCCTTGAAGTCATCCTATACGAGAAGGAAACCCAAGTGTTGACTGTCTCAAATTCACCTCAGTTATCGTTCTTTCAACTCGAAACATTAGTGACTAACACTAAAATCAGTCAGTCAACAACGGTTTTTTCCAAACAGTCCTATAAAAAATAGATTAGTTAAGTAAATTCATGCACTTAAAGGCTGCTTATCAAAAGTTTTATAAGTAGGTTTCATATTTACTGAAACCCATCAACTTGACATGCATAAAGCCTTCAGAAATTTAGATATCACTCCAGATTATGGCCCACCTTGTTCACAGGTACGACGTTTATTCTACTAAAACTGACCATCTTTACGAAAGAGTTCACTGCCAAAAGGTAACCACAGTGACGCCCTTTCGTTTTAGTGATGACAGAAGTCTACTAATGGAAGCAGTTCATGAACCGAGCTTTATGGCAAACAGTCGTGAGGTACTGTTTTCATATTAAATTTTCTGAAATAAAAGTTGGAGAAGGAAAATCTGCTTTTTGACTTTTGATACTCATAGGTAAGGCATGCATACAGAACATGAATCCAAAAACCAGTTTAATCATTCGGATCAAAACTAAACATTTTTTTATGGATATTTCATGTTCAATATGTTGTGAAAAATGCTACATTAGTATTTTTTAACGAAGGTCAATGGCAACCTGTACTCGACTATATTCAAAAATACACATTTATAGGTTTTAGCAATTTACTCGTTAGGTTGGGTAAACTTGGATAAGTCGACATGTTAAATATTTCCTATCACATAAATGATAGGCACACAGGTTATTCCTTGTCAAATAGAAAGAAAATTTGCTTCAGTTTCCTAAATTTTTTCAATCATACGAGTTTACTCATTGAATTGCTGAGTGAGAATGCCTAAAAGAATATGTCTATTGATTTAAGGGCATTTTTTTGGAAGTTGTACACAATAAAACAGTACCAGATAAAGAAAACTGATTTTGATTTGATATGAGTTATAAATGAAGAACTCCTGAGCTGAGGGAGGGGGAGGAGGTACACGAAGATTAAAACTGTATCAATGGCCAGTTATCATTGCTTAATTTGAGTGTTCTCATTGTATGATAGTACCAATTAATATAATGTTTAGTATAATGACATTAAATTGTCAGGACTATGTTTCAAGTAGTTTTAGGTGGTAATTTTTTATACTTGGGACATAAATTTGGTTACCGTCTAATGGAATCAACAACTACGCGCACGTTCATGCACTAGGTAATAAACCACACCTATTGTATGAAAGTTAATGGTACTAAGTGGCTGCTTGCACCATAATGGGTAGAAGGGGGTTCGAACGCACGAGTCACTAACTGATAGTCAACTGCTCTAACCAATGAGCCACATCTCGACTGCTCATGGATTGACAACGTCGTAAACGTCAATACTGTAATACAATTCTGTCAGAATTAATAGGCTAACATACTGAACTTTCAGTTGCAGCAGGTGTGTATTGACTTACAGTAATATACGACTGTTAAACTTCAGCAATGTAGAGCTTGATTCAAACTAGTGATCCCCTAATCCGAAGTTAAGTACTTAAATCAATGAACCACAAATGTATATTGCGTTTTTTGCATATTGTATGTGCAACATTATGAAATCACTGCTCTCTGTTAAATCTTAATGTCATGCAGTTATTTCTAAGTTTTCATTATATCCCAACAACTTTCGAGACAGGATTATTCCTAATCTATACGTTAACTTACCATAATTACCTTTACAGTTGAAAATTTTCTGTCTAAATACCTAAGAAGGTTCGGTTGATCACCTAACGGAAGGATATTTTAGAAACTGATTCTTTGATTTTAGTTTGGCTGATATCGTTAACTGACTTCCCATAGACAATCACTGCGATTATGAAAATGTGTTAAAAAGTAGTAACTAGGGGTACTTTATTCTCCCTTGTAATTTACTTGTTCATGTTCATTACTTCATATTCCTTAGTGCTCTTACACACTAGGTAAATAAGGTGATTACTCGCTACACAGAAGATAGCATAGAAAATAATTTTCACGGGAAACTAACATCCATTGGAGGACCGTGTCAAGCCTGTGGATATAAGATGGCTGTTTTGTCCCAGTTTGAAATTCTTCAGCAGTTCGCACTCACAAAACCACAAGGAGTCAAGCCAAGGGGCATCAGGTTTTATTGTGTAAGCATTACCATCCAACTGCGGGGGTTAAATAGAACATTCTACTATTTTCTGTGATTGAGACATGACTAGAAGTGGGGAGTCTGTCTACAGTTCTTAGACATGTCAGTCGAAGTAAATCAATTTCCAATCATCAAACAACTAACAGACAACAACAAAGTAATGAATACGCCCATATTATTCCATCTTTTATTTTTTTCTGACCTAAGTTTTTAGAGGTAAGCTACAATGATAGACAGGTTTCATTATGCACATATATATATCATTAAGAAAGAGGAGACTATTACAGCCTCTTTCCTCTCTGATATGAACTTCACATATTCCCCAAGGTCTTAAAGGAGATTATTCATAAAACAACTAATTGATTCGCAAATAAATAAATAATGGAAAGATAAATTACAGTTTTTTTTCACTTACCAGAGTCACAACAATAACTACTACTAATTTACTGTTAATTATTGTTCTGTTTACCATCAGTGAGTAAAATTTAGGAATTGACAAAAGAAAAGTATTTATTTAGGATAAGGTGAGATTATTGGTAAAGGGGAGCTTCTATTCTGAAGTGCTATCACTGTGAGAAATACAGAAAATTGGTGAGCTATGGGCAGTTAAACTATCATCATCTTGTGGTAACTCAATAATTAATGGCCCGGTTATTTTCAAAAGGGTATCAAGATTTTCTGATATTCTTTTACTCATACTGTATCTTGAATGGTGTTAGTTAATCAGAGAAAATGATTTGAAAGACAAATTGGTTGAAGACCTTTGGTGGTTAGCTATGAGATTAGACTGTGTACTAGTCGCCACCTATCAACAATTCAAATCTGGAACTATATGCAGATCGCTCAATTCCTCAGAAAGACTCAAACTTGCATCATTCATGCAAACAATGGTCCATGTTACCGGAAATGATCATTTGTTATACTGTATCAACTGAACCTACCAGCTGCTGAATAGAAAACAATCTAAATCTCCACACACTTGAGTGATGGGCAATAATCAATTCTAAGTAGTTATCAGCCGCGTATAGTTAAAACACAGAATTAACCAATTAACTGCTCACGACAGCTTGATTTTTAGCAATCAACCCGATTAAATCACCTAGAGACGGAAACCACTACAAAGGGGTTGTAATAATATTGACCACATTCAGTAAATAAGCTCTATCATTTAGTTAAACTAAACCTGATTACCATAAATCTCAGGTTACAAGCATGTTTAACTTTGATGCCTTTATGCTCAAATGATATTAAAAATTACTTCAGATAAATAGTTAAACCTCTAAATACATTTTTCAATTACTCTGTTTTAGAAGCATTCACTAACGATGTCGTATGAAAAGACAACTGAAGTTCAACAAATATGCCATCAAGTTCACAGAACACAATACAGTTTGAAACGTTCTCTGGGACTATAAATTCTTACTCGTCCTAGTATCTGGTGATATTATGTACAAATTTGAAGGGTTATATGAAAAGTTGTTAGTCAGCAAGTTATGGGCTGACTTCAATGAGTGCAAAAACTGTGACCTTACGATTCATACTGCCAATGCTCTATTGACTGGATTCAATATGAATTTACACTGATTGTAAAGCTCCCAGAGCAGCTGTTGAAGTTTTTATTGGAACATACATACGCCCCAGGACATATATATATATATATATATATATATATATATATATATATATATATATATATATATATATATATATATATATATATATATATATATGGAAATGTAAGTAAGGGTCATCCTACCTACTACATATGAATGGTATGAGTCATATTCTGTGTAGCTAAATGAAATTTTTTAAAGAATGCTAAATGAACTTCAACCTGTTTTAGTTAATTAACTCATATGTGAACTGAGTACATTTTTGTATACAGGTAGGAATGTGAATGGGGGTAATATGTAGAATAATTCACTTTAAAAAATCTCTTATTTATCCGTTGAATGTAGTGAAAAGACTTTTTTTTCAAGCATTCCATTTAATATTCAATTACAGAACAAATGATGGTCAGGTTATTTGGGCATGAATGAGTGAATGTATAATGAGAAAAAGGTTGTCAAAATACCTTAAAAATCACAGGCTGTCATCAATCTTTTATTAGTATAAAAGTATGTGTCAAAGTTAACGCTTCACTTAACACTCATATCCATAAATTCGTTGATGTATTGTGTATATTTATTCAGCTCTAGACATTAAAGTCAAAAAAAGGGGAAAAACAGAAAATTTATTAAACTTTTCAATCACAAAGTCATGCAATTCACATTCTGTAGCATGAAAACAATAAAAGAAATGGATAAATTTTCAGTCTTGTTTATTTATCTACTATTAAAGCATGTAAATTTTTTTCAAAATAGTTGACAACTTTATTCATAAAAGGTAGAAATTATGGATGCAAGCTCATGTATATGTTCATTTTCATAAACATTGACTCGGTACAGAAACTGAATGAATGAAAAAGCTAAGAAATGATCAATTTAAAGTTTCAGCATTTTATGTCCATAATGAGGTGATTGTTGTTCTTTTTCTGTTCTGGATTA